GGGGCCGCCAGAACCCCCCCCCCCCCCACCCTGGCCGCTTCTGGAAATGCTGCGAAAAGGCTCGTGGGGTAAAATCTGTGGTCCCTATCCTGCAGGCTTAACTTTGACCCCATACCCATAAACTACTTGTTAGCGCTTGCTTAGCCTCGCAAAAACAAAAAAACACCTCGTCCACGCCCGAAAACCGTGCAAACCCGAGAACAAAGCGGCCTTCTTGGCCTTGCGCGCACCTCGGCGCGCAAAGAAGGCATGCATGCACCTATTTTCCATCACCTGGTATGAAGCCCTAGCTCATTGTTATTGATCCAGCCCTGTATGGGAAATCAGCCCCTTTCCATGATTCGCCATGGGTTCAACGCAAATTGGTGGTCAACAGTCCCAAGCCTTTTCCGTGTCGTAAGCAAAAAGGTCATGAACTTGCCATGACGTTTTTTTTGTTTGCTTTTTTATGGCTCTGTTTCGAAAGTTAATGGGCTTTGGGTACTGAAAAAGAACGACTGAGGTACATGGACATGATTTCCCCGGAAATATTCCCAGGGACCGTGCACCGTGGCTTACTGCAGGAACTTCTGGGGTTGGCCCACAGGGCTCTGTGGGTCCCGAAAATTATCGCTGCCATTGGGTATTAATGTTGACCCCTGCTTTAGAAAAACAACTCCAGATATTCAAGAAATCACCCTGGAGGAAAGGAATCCTTTGTAGAAAGGGAACCCCTTCGATAACAAGTGGGGTTTATTCGTCAGTCATTAGAGCGACTCATGGAGCCTTCCCATTTCTGAGGTCAAAGCCCACGATGAGTCCCTTCCGCATGTCCGCGATATGGTTCAGCAGAGCCTCCAAAAACGCCGCGGGAAGAAATGTCCGCGTCAGCCATCGGCAGGGCAAATGCCATACCAAAGAGATATGCATACACATACATGTATATATATATATATATGTATATATACATATATATATATACATCCACCACCTATATATATATACATATAAGTATAAATGTAGTCAGACACACACCCATGCAAGATGTGCAAAGGTGGACAGATGGATCATGGGAGGCGAGCACACACATACATGTATGTATGTGTGTATGTTTGTATGTGTGTATGTGTGTATGTGTGTATTTGTGTATGTTTGGTTGTATGTTGTATGTTTGTATGCATGTATGCATGTATGCATGTATGCATGTATGTATGTATGTATGTATGTATGTATGTATGTATGTATGTATGTGTGTATGTGTGTATGTGTGTATGTGTGTATGTGTGTATTTGTGTATGTGTGTATGTGTGTGTATGTATGTATGTATGTATGTATGTATGCATGCATGTATGTATGTATGTACGAATATATATATATATATGATATAGACACATACTATACATGTATGTAACATATATATATATATATGTGTTCATGTCATACACCTCAGTGTAACCCCCATAAAACCAGATCGAACCCTGCCACAATGGCAAGTAGTTGATTCGGGTTTTGGCACTAAATTTTCAGTTGCACGCACCTGGTCATCCGTGAAGACTCAATGGGGTGAACATCGCACTCATGTGCGGGGGGGGGGGGTGCCTTTTTTGTGAGCGGTACCTGTTTCGTGGTGTTAAAAGAAAACCAAAACCAAAACTGCCAATTTGGAGGGAGGGTTTCCAAACAAGACACAGTCCCATACTAACCCTCATCTACCCAGCTTTTGATTGTTGCTTTGTCAATTTTCCTTGTGGCGTCGTTGTCGCGCAAGCCAACAAAAAACATGTTCTGAGAGTCTGCTCCATATCTAGTGAACTTACAATGCTTTTTGTTCAGCCCCCTAGCAAAAATGACACCAGAACCAAACACTAACAAACGTGGAACCATGCTGCCATGTCAGTGGCTTGGGTGCCCAGTGAGCAAAAGCTGCGCCCAGCCGGGCATCGAAGAAGCTCGCAACAAATGGCAAGTCAGAAAGAGTCTAGCGCCCAAGGTGGTCGGCTTCGGCTTCTCGTGGAAACAAAATTGGAGGTGCCGGTTCTGACGATTCGTTGCTCGACCAAGACATCAAAATCAGAAACACGGTAAATCCAATTTTGCACAATTCTCTAGCAGTCTACGGCCTGTGTACCAACCTCTCCGAGTCAATCAGCGCCTGTCGATTAGCACACACGATTTGGGGTTGCACTGCGTTCAACGCTCTGTTTCGATGGGAGCAAGCAGGACCTATGTGCCTGCTCCATCGTGCAGTCGCGTGAGGTGGTCTTTCTCAAAGAGGAATTCCGAATTCCCATCCGGGTGCATACTGCGTTCCCCGAAAGAGAGGCCGAGTTGGGATTTGCCCAAGGAGTTGGGCTAGAAAACCCGAAGGAGAGGAGCCTTCTCCTTCTCTCAGGGGACGCCTTGTCAAGCCCCAACCTGTAAAAGGGGATCCCCAGGCCTCTCTGCCTGTTCTCTGCTTGACGCTGCACCTCAGCTTCCCGGACTTTCAAGTTGAGTTCCTAAGGCAGGTGACAACTAAACCATCTGGCAATACCGGATTGACACGCAAATCCCCCAAAATGGGCGGAGTCTAAGGCGACTCCTCTGGCAGTTGATGGTAACTGTCTGGCGACCGCTGGAAGCTGGCCCAAGCAAATCCAGGCTCATGTTCCTTTTGCGCAAGCTGCGTGTTGTTTTAAAAGAAAGGTGCAACTGTTGCCACATGAACATGGCAAATCTAGGTTTGGGGCCCTTTGGTGGACATTTGGGGATTCATGGCCAACCACTTTTCAGGTTCCATGTCTGAATCCATAGGCAACGAGAGGGCCGGAACAGTTCTAAGCTTTCGGAGCCCTGAATGTTAACACCAAAATGCAGCCCGCTCTCTGGAGTCTGTTCTTGGATGCATGAGTGCAATTTAAGAGGAATTGGACCCTTGGTGGACATCAGAACTAATAAATAACTTATATAAACATATATGTATATACCACCACCCGCCATTCAGATGGTGTTCCCCGAAAAACTTTCAGTCCATCTTAACGGGACCTGAGCTGGTGATTTCCCCTGTGGATTCCCTCCAAACCCCACGCTTGCAAACTGAATTTAAGCAACCCCCAGGACCTTCATAAGGGAATGAGCTCGTTTTACCCCCGGATTGCTAATCCTCAGTTGCCGGTTTGGATGGGTGGTTTAGATTGGTGAGAATCCCTGGTTCTTGGAGATTTTTGGGAAGCTACCCCCTGACATCCAAACCACTGGGGTGCAAACCAACGTGGAAAAGAAGCTCCGAGCGCCGCGCTTGAAAACCAGCGGCATCTCTTTGTGCCCGAGACCTCCGTGAGACCGGGTAAAACCAACCCCGCTGAACAACTCTGGGGAAAAAACCGCTGCATCCCTGGTAAGGTACAAAATGAAGCAAACTCTGGTGATATTGAAAAATGAAGCAACGCCCGTACGACAAAAGGTGGAGAAACAAAGCATAACCAGGTGTCAGGGAGCTGGGTACCAAACTAAAGTGAGTACAAAGCTTTCGAGCAAAACCATATCTTTGATATTCGACTAAAGTGCCCATGGCAAAACACAATGACAGTGCCCCAGTTGAGCACAGTCTCAGGAATTGTGGCTGTTCTGATGCGCAAGTGCTTCACGACATGTGAAAAAAGTATGCCAGGATTCAGGATGGATCTATTTGATATGTTGTCGCGCGTTTCAAGTGGGTGTGTTCTGTGAGGGTGCCTTTTTTAGTCTGTCTGGCCCTAAGGAACACCTAAAACAAACAATTCTGGCTCTTGGGGCATCCCTCATTTAGAGACAGGCTGCATGTTTTCAGTAGCGGAGATGGGAACACAATGTCCAAATCAGGAATACCCAGTAAGGAGGATCACTAGTCATGGGCAAAGCGGCAAACCCACTGTGCGAAGCAGATGTGACTTGTGCAAGTATACCAGTGGTGTTAGCTACTTCAAGTCTATAAGTTCTGTTTCATGAGGTACGTGACATGCGCATGACAAGCAATCGTCAAAAACAAATGAACTTGCCTTTCACTAGGGAACCTGGACAAATCGAAGTCAGGGCCTGTCGTTGAGGTTTCTTTGAAGAACCGCCATGGCTTCCAAGTCAGTAACCCCTAATTCAGTTTCTTGGGGTTTGGATTGGTGGTTTCTACAAGAGCCAGAAGTTCAATTCCTCAAGCCACTAATGCGCCCGTGGTTTCCGTTTAAACCAACCCCAACAAAGGTACCCTCAAAACACGCACGCCCGCCCGCCCGCCCGCCCGCACACACACACACACACACCAACACACACAGCCATGCGTTTGTTTCGTATTCAAAACTCGAGCCTAAGAAAGCCCTGCGCTTTCCGTAGCTACAGTTTTCAAAAGATGTCCAAACACCAGCCCGTGAGTCGGGACCTGGCTTCGCAGGAAGGTGTCGATTCTGAGCGTCAAAGTCACTTTTCAATAAGAAGACGAAAAAACAGCCACCAGGAACCTTTACATGTGGGGCACGCTACGCTGAAGCCAAAAAACGGTGTTGTTGCGCTGTTTTCGGGCCCAACAGAAACCTCGTCAGATCACGCGGTCCCGCGGATTGGCGCTTCCTCGGCTGGGGCGCGTGGCCAACTGGCCGGACGCTTGACAGGCCTGCCTCATAAATAGCTTGTCCAGGCACCAATGTGAGCTCCAAATGACGCGCTCAGCCCTGCGCAAAGGAAGCGCATGGTCCCGCGCTGATTCCGCGAGTAGGGCTGCAAACGTTCTTGTTAGCGTCGGAATAACTGGTGCAATTGTCGTTGCCAAAAAATCGGAGTACTTTCGCCCGGAATAAGAGTTGGACCCGGATTCAGAGGCAGATCCAGCGTGTCCAAAGGCAGATCCAAGTCCCCAGACAGGGACTCAAGACAAGCTTTTGTCGGGGAAATGTCTTCCTGACCTTGCTCAGAAGCTTTCAGGTGTTGCGCTGGCACTCTGTGGGGTACCTGTTTTTCTTTCACCCTTCTGACATGCTGCCCCGGAATCGGACGAGGCAGGGGCCGGAGGTCCTCTAGCGTTTTACCGCGCCGAGAGCGGGTGGGGGTGCGCATGCAGCTGCGGAGTAAGTGAGGTCCTGCGCTGGTCGCGCAGAGGCCCCGCGCAGGTCCCGCGCGAGGATGGGCCAACACTTCAAATCCACGCAATCTACGTTGAAAAGAACAACGCTGCGAGTGGCACCCTTCCGGGACAGTACCGAAACGGGGCCCGGCGAGTTCAACATTGGCCCGCCTGCGAAAGACGTGCGCGCCGTGTCCCGGACATCAACAGCATAACAGCATGACCCCAGAAGTGGGCCCACAAAAACAAAAGATGTTTGGCTTCACTGCTGGACAATTCCCGAACCAGTACACTCCCAACTGACATCGATACTTAGCATCAAGAAACGATTGGAGGAACCCCTTGGCTTCCAAGAGACACCGAAGTTGAACGATCCAGTTCCGAGCCCAAGCGGCGCCAGGGGTTCTGTGGCATCTGCTCCAACCTCTGCACGAACTCTTCTGCTGGGTCCTCCGGGGCACCTCCAGGAATTCTCAAGACGACGGGAAAAATCGAATTGAACGAGACCAGAAAGCAGAACAACACGGTGCTCGTGTTTTCTCGTTGTTTTTCTTCTCTTTTTTCTCCCGGAAAGGAACAAACCGGTGAACAGTTGCGACCAGTGGCCGTAGAAAAAACCGGGAGCGTAAAAGGAAACCAGTTGCGGGAAAGAAACAAACGACGCTCGGTCGGGAAAGAAAAAATTACTTCGCTTCGAGCAATCCCCGCCCTCCACACGCACAAGCTTCCGACCGTGAACACGGTTGTGTGATTTCAAGCACGGTTTTCGAGTGGCTTGGGGCCTATGACTGCTCAACAAGATTTGCATTGAGAGCCTTATCCACCTCTCTGCGTGTCAAACTGTCAAACTCCACTTGTCTGCGAGCCGATCTCGAGAACTCAGACATCAGTTCCGCTAAGAAAAGCCAAGCCCCTTCCAAAACGAAACCCAACGGGGGATTAAACGAAGCTCCTTATTCACAACCCAAAGCAACACAACAGCATCACCCTTTCCGAGCCTCAAAACACGAAGGCACCAACATGAAATGTAAACCCAACTGTGCGCCGGGCGGAACATTAAGCAAAACCAGACTGGTAAGCTGCTCTGGCGGGATACTGGCGGGATCCAATGGCGAATAATGGCGCCGCTCCGGCTCGATACTGGCCGGATACTCGGCAGGATCCACTGGCAAGGGACACTCAGCGGGATACTCGGCGGGATTCATTGGAGAGTTAGTCTGGGATACTCAGCGGGATACTCGGCGGGATCCACTCGCGCTCTGGTGGGATACTCGGCGGGATCCACTGGCGGGCTGCTCTTGGTGGGCTACTCGGCGGATCCACTGGCGAGCTACTCTGACGGGATACTCGGCGGGATCCACTGGCGAGCTACTCTGGGATACTCAGCGGGATACTTGGCGGGATCCAGCGGGCTGCTCTGGTGAGATACTCGGCGGGATCCACTGGCGAGCGGCTCTGGCGGGATACTGGGCGGGATCCACTGGCCAGCTGCTCTGGCGGGATACTGGGTGGGGGCGTGGTGTAGAAGCTTCGCAAACGCGGATTCCAACATAAAATCTAACAACCCCTTCCTGCCGGGTGGAGAACTAAGGAAAACTCAAGGAAGCTGGTAGACTCTGCCGAGTCGCTCCGTCCTGGAAGCTTTCTAATGTTGGTTTGCTGGAACTGATGTTGGTTTGCCACGCTATCTAACGGGAATACCAATCAACTCCAAGTGCCATGCTTTAGGACCGAGTCCACAAGTTGACATGAGATTTGACAATTCACATGACTCGAGGGCATAGGACTGGATCCTGGAAGTCCAACACGTTTTTGTTCAAACAAGCTGCGTCAACCCTTTGATTTTATGATAGAGCTGAAGCCCGGGCATGGACGTACAAACTCCAATCGTGCCCCCAAATCAATGGAGAACTCAGCAAAGCATGTAACTTGAGATCGATTGAATGAGCTAAACTTTGTTTGCTCATCTCGCCCCCTTGTTACTTGGACGGGCAAGCCTCACCTTTGACTTACAGAACTATCCGCTTTGGTGGAGCTGACTTGTTCGTTGGGGGCTCGCCCACTCTCCAGTTTGCCATAGAGTCAACTTGTGGTTTCCTGCCATCCCAAAAGGATTCAATTTGGGTTGGCTTGGGGTTTTTGACATGAGAAACAGCAGTCACGGGGGGTCTAGTTGGGGGTCCAATGGGTCTTGAGAAACCGAAACTGGCTGGTGCATGAAACCTCCCGTTTGCGATCCGTCTGCTTGCTTTGTGGAAAACTAGATAACTGATCCCTGCTCGTGTGCGATCCGTCCCCCAAAAACCAGCCAGTGTTGCGACAGACCCTGCCGAGAACGAGTCGGACGCCTCTTGGCTTTGGCTTTGAACAACCAACTACCCCAAAAAATGGCTTCGGATGGCGATTCGGATCGCAGCAACATTTGGAACAAGGAAACAACCCAAACACGACGTGCTCAAAACAGCCTTTGAACAGCCCAGGCTATGGAATATGGCAAAGTGCAATGACATCGCAAGTCAGTTCTTCGGTTGCCTGAAGCAACGCTGTTTCCAAACAATTGGCGACACATCCTGGCGCGAAACTTCATTGAAAAGCCATCTGTGAAGAATATGTTTGGATGCATCCATCGATGGGCGTTCCAATTTCGAACTCCTGGCCATGAATCTTGATGTAAAACAGTTCCAACCCAAAAGCCGGATTGGATTCCTTCGGAAAGTGTTTTTCGTCCGGACAATGTTTAACCACCTTCGTCAAGTTGTCATAGATCCCATCTCTGTCTCTACAACCAACAGGGGAAACAAAAACCAAGTCCTCACGCACATGGCAGGATTCAATTCGACTCCGGAGCCCCAGCCTCTAGGCTGGCGCTTGGGAGTATCCATCCTCATTTCGCGCGTTTCGGAAAATCCCTGTGAACCTCCATACGAACCAGGGGTTCAAAGCCCAAACACTCCAAACCCGCAAGGGGTTACCTGAGTAGCTGTTATCTGTGGAAAAAAAAAACACCAAAAGCTGCGATTGCCAAAGCTCGGACCCAAGTCAGGATAGTCTTGCGGTTGGCTTTGCATGGACAGCCCGTCCTTCCCGGGTGGAGAAGGCTGCGCAAAATGATATCACTTGAAATCTCGACTTCAATGAAATTCAACCAGCAGACTCGGCGACAAAAGCAACCGAACCGTTGATCGCCGATGTCGTGTATGGCTGCGTTGGGAACGTTTCTGATTATTTTCTCAATACTGTTCTACCCCTCCACTCAGCCTCGATCGGGTTCGTCATGCACTTCTGTTCCTGCGTGAGTTCAGAAACTTCAGAGGGACCACCAATCAAACAGTTGATGAATTTAAAGAAGTGCTCATACGCTGTTGTGACTTTGCAAACATGAAACATGAAGGCAACACGGATCCTGGATCAATGAGCCAGTGATCAAGGTACAAGCCGATTCACTGGTTTTGATCGGCGGAATCAGCAAAATGCACTAGAACTCCACCTCGCAACGTAGCTGAGGAAGGTGCCTTGAGGAAAATGTCCGGTGGACATGGTTCGGACTTTTGGAACCAATTTGGGAGGGGGAAACCAACCATCAAGAATTGCCACATGGTCTGTAGCTTCTCAGGTTCCATAGGACGGAGGGTAATTGCACCAACAGTAATTATCTGTTGGGAAATCCTGAAATACCTGGAGAATTGCCCAAAGCCTCCATGCAATCGAATAATCTGCCCAGTGATGCCATGCCGTATGTGAGTTGACAAATCACCTTGACCAGCGCGACGGGCATCCAGCCAAACAAAAATCAGCCCCTTGTCCCAAACCCAAACTGGGCTGTCCTCAGATCCCCTGCTACAAGTTTAACTTTTAGTGAGTTAAATTCGGAACCCCTGCTAATCCAACTAAAAACGACGAAGAACCTAAGGAGCCGAACGATTCGTTGGTTCCGAACCGCCAAGCAAAGGGAGGAAAACATTTCTACTCAACTGGAGAGACCAGTCCGGAGAACGCCGGATGCTTACTGCATCGCAGCCACTTGGTGAGTACCACAGTGAGGTCTGCCCCCGTATCCGCCAACCACTTGATGCCCTGGCGCAAAGGGGGCGAGCTCGAACCGAAAATCTAAGATGAAGACCGGCGATTAAGTAGAAGACCATTTTGGTGGAGAATTGCATCCGGGGTATCTCCGCCAAGCATGTTGCATGGGGTTCCCAATTTCAATTCACATCTTGAGTGAATAAGGCGACCACAAAATCAAGTCTTGCAGTCTGGCGTGAGCCTCAGAAGACTCGGGATTGCAAAAATGAAAAACAGAAGCACGAATTCCAGCAAAACATAATGCAGATGCTCAGGTACTTCCTTGGTAGACGCAACACACAAACCTTGCTTTAGGTCCTTGGACATATACATGGCGTTTTCCTCGCGTTCCCTTGAGTCCTGATAGACTAGCATGCAACTGCATATCCTACCCACAGTGAATGGATTCCAGCTTTGGGCCGACAACTTTCGGAAAATATGCAGCACGCTGTTCAGGCCACAGGGAACCACCCCAAAAGATGTCTGGAGTCGGTCAAAGTTCTCTGTGCTGAGCTGAAAAATGGGCAAAGGCTTGTTCAGCGGCTTGTTGTTTGCCAAGGCGTTCACGAATGCCTATGTCAGTCACCATAGTGGCAGCAACTTCCTTCTCAAAGATGTGAATTGATAAGCTCGGCGCTTGACGCAAGCACTTGATGCAGTGAAACTTGCGGCCTTTGTGTGCCAAGGGTCGTGTATCTGAGCATGCACGTTGTAGAACGCGTCGTTAGCATGCATTGGCTTGGTTTGCATAGTGTTGTTTTTGGTTTCAATGCTGCATCTTCACGAGCATGCAGTTTGTCTTTTGTTTTCTTCTCTCCGCTGAGGGCACACGCTTGGAAGTGGGCAGACTGCCATAAACTTGCAATCTCCGCAAAAGTTTCAGCTCATTTGTACACATGATGTTTTTCTCATGACTTGGTGTGTGACTTTGTCCTTCACCCCATTGGGTTGCGGAGCTTTCTTGGAATCCAAACAAGCTTTCTGGGGTTCCCTACATTTCCCCTCCCGCCACAACTGGCAACCAAAAGGTGATGTTTTAACCAGGACCAGCACAAGTGGATTTCCATGAGCAACAAATGATTTGTTTCTCGGTCCTTGAATTATGGGAAACCTGTTCAAACCAAATGGTTGCGAAACGCTTTTGGGTTGGTACTTCTTATTTGTGGCAAAGGGAAACCAACAAGACAATCGTTGCGCCCTTTTAGGGCACTAAAACAGGGGCCGCTGGATATCGGAGTCCCTTTCAAGAATTGCAATTAACTGGTGGTTTTCATTTAAACTACCACTCTTGGAGGTTCCAAAAAAGGAGATGGAGGACACCCCATAAAAAGCATTAAGCCCCAAATATGAGCAAAATAAATCGGCGGTCGCATTTAACACGTTTCGCGGTCCTGGAGGTCGAAGTCTTGGAAGGGCTTTGAGCCATCCACAAGGTAGAAGAGCTGTGCTAAGGTGTTCCCTAAGCAATCGACAAGAACACATCCATCTGGGGGTTGATCAAAAGGTCCGGTAAACATGGGATGACCAGTGGGGAAATCGCTAAGCATCTCAAATCGGGAAGTCTGGGTGGGGGTATGGTTCGGTAGGGCCCGAGGTATGGCTTGAGGGTATGATTTGGGGTATGGCTCGCAGGAACTGAAACTGCTTAGCCGCGCTGACGATCTGCCATTAGCGACTTTTTCGCGCGCGGTCACAGGGTCACGTGCAGAAACAAAGGCATGGTTCGACGTATAGTTCGGGTATGCTTTGGGGATGATTCGAAGCAAGGCTTTTCTGCCGTAGAAGAAGTAGTAGTAGTCATAAGTACTTGTAGTAAGTAGTAAGTAGTAAGTAGTAAGTAATAAGTAGTAAATAGTAAGTAGCAAGTAGTATGTAGTACGTAGAAAGTAGTAAACAGTAAGTAGTAAGTAGGCTCCATCCAAGAATTGCACGTGGTTAGCAGCAAAGGGCCAGGCCCGGCTGACAACAGGTCCCCACACGAAGAGAGATTCAAAGCCGCAATTGGAATGGGCAGCTGGTTGCGCATGCGGTTCCAATAGCCCTCAATCAAGACATTGGGGGACTTGGGTGCTATTTAACAGCAGTGGCTTAGTGGCTCAGGCGTGCGTGATGACAAGGTTGCGACCTGAATATGAAATGTCGAACCTTGTCACAAAAGGCGAGAGGACCAAAAAGCACGCTGCTGCAGAGGCGGCGAAAGGGCGGCGAAGTCGGCCAAAAAGGTGGCAGTCCCACAAGAAACCTCTGTTTAGAGGCTCTTGGTTCCTGTAAGGGGCATGTATAAATTTGAGCGCCTTCTGTGAAGCTGAGTGAGCTCCCCCACGCACCTCACATGCCACACTGTCCTTGCAGCCAAGGCGTCTCCAACACCTTGGCTGCAGCTTCTTGGGGTAAACATCCTGTAGCTGGTTGCTTAGATTTAACGGAAGATGGCTTCATCTTTGTTTCACCATATGTTTCCGTGAGTCCTCTGGTGGTCGGGATTTTTCCGCGAGTACTCCATTGAATCGACCCTAGACTGGTAATTTCAACGCGCTGACACTTTCCAATGACTCCCCTTATGCCTCTGATCAGCATGTGAGGAGTGCGTCAGACACGCAGCGTTCTTCTCAGATTGTCAATCTAGTTTGACTCCACCCGTGACTAAATACTCGATTTAGAAAGTGTTCACCACCATCACCCGGATGAAGGATGGCTTTGTCGCACACTCACAAACAAGCACATGCACATGCGCTTCTGCCTGGGACGCCGACGCGGCGAGACAAGCAGGGAAGGTTCCTGCAATCGCCCCCGTGTCCGGTCTGAGGTTCGACTTCATGGGGGTTTGGTGTCAACAAAAGGCCCACGCCGGGCATTCAGAGTGCCTCAAAAACAACGGTAACCAGAATGCCACTATGGGACACCATGCTCAGCTATTTACACTAAAACGCGCACGCTTGCTCGCAAGCACGGGGCACGTTCGCGCTCTAAAAGAAATACCTCCGCACTTGCGCAAATTACTTCCACTTAGCCGAGACACTGGCAACGTCTCCGCGTTGTCCACGCCGCCTTGCGACCACGCGTTTTTGGCTTTGCGAAGCAGCTTGTGCAGCCGTCCGTCTGCTCCAGTCCAGGCCCGAGCGGTGGACAAAGCGAGAGCCTTTGTGATTGCCCTCCCTGCGAACGCAACCACCCAGGCTGCGCAAGCTCAATATTTTTTGCGAATCGAACCACGGGGGATGATGATTTCTTTTGTTGCAGCTCACTTTCAATCCATGGCGAACGATCGCGTTGTGGATGTGCACGGGAAGCTTCCTCGATAGCTTTGAGTGACGAAGGCGTTGCTGCACAGCGCGGCATGCCATCAGATTGGGATGAGCCTGCAAAAAGGGGAAGAGTGTCGCAAAACTTTTTGCTGTGTCTTGATGCCAGGACTCGCTTGGCGCTGGGCGGGGCATGTGTGCGTGCGCGCATGTCATGAAGCTTGGCGTGCGCCAAATGCGCTTTGAGCAAGAAAGAAACCAGCGGGATTCACTTCAGCAAGCACGCTAACTGTATCAAGTCCCCCCACTAAACTTCGCCAGTTTTTTGATGTGTCGCCAACAATAAGGGGGAATCACGAACTTACTTCGCAACAGCAGGCCGCGCATGCATCACGCATGTTGGCAAATGGAAACGCCTTGCTCAGGTAGCTATGCCCTCTGTTCCCATCTCTGGTTTCCATGGCGCTCGATCAAATCAAGGGGCCGTGCGAGTGCAGTCGTGTCTTTTTTTTGTAAGGTGCTGCACTCCTTGGTTCCTGTAAATTCTCAGGGAGATCCTGAAGGGCAACCGTGTTTGCTGATGCGTGGTCACTTCATGCGTGGAAAACGGTCAAACAGCGCGATTTCATGGCAAAGGGTCCCATCACGGGTGGCCTTACCAAAGAAGAAGTAAGTGCAGCCGCCTGCGCAACAGTGCGCTACCGCAACAGCAACAACTCGTTTTCTCCAATTGTTAACGTCAAATATTGAATCACGATTGAGGGTGTAGCGTCAACCTACCTGCCCGCAAACCTGAAAAGCACAAGCTACGTTTGAGCTGGTGCCAGTCAGGCCTTACACCATGGAGCTTACTCTAGGTCGGAGAATGTAAGGGAAACCTGCATACCCCGCAAACCCTAAAAAGCGCCAGCCGTGTTTTTTGTGGAGCTTCGAGCAAGCCTCCGACGCCTTTCTTTGGAACCCTGTGATCGGCTCCTTTGCCCCCGCTATGGGCCCGGCTTCTTGAGAAGAGCCAGGGGCAGGACGCACGCAGGCCAAAACTGTCAGCCAGCAGCACGCTTGAGGCCACTCGGTCTTGGCCTGGTTTCTTGAGAAGAGTCGGGGACAGGACCAGCAGGACGCATGCAGGCCAAATCTGTCAACTCCTATTTGCGCAACACCTATATTACTTTCACACCAGCCAGCGGCATACTTGAGGCCCCGCGTGCTGTTGATTGACTTTTCAGCCTGCGTGCGTGATTGCAGTCCAACACTTTAGCAAAGCCAGACGTTCTTGAGCAGGGGTTGTTTTTAGTAAATATGTTCCCCTAATATCAGTTTGTGTTCAGTAAGCCAAGTTTACAAAATGTTTGCGATTCTTGTGAACTTATCCTATGAGTACTCTGGGCCTGCGTTGGGTGCTAGTAGTAGTAGTAGTAGTCGTAGCAAGGAGTAGTAGTAGTAGTAGTAGTAGTAGTAGTAGTAGTAGTAGTAGTAGTAGTAGTAGCGAGGAGTAGTAGTAGTAGTAGTAGTAGTAGTAGTAGTAGTAGTAGTAGTAGTAGTAGTAGTACTACGGGTGTGATTCGCACAGGTCGAACTTCCATCCTTTAATAAGCCTTGCGCGCCTTAAAAAGGCACGCACCCATGTGTATGTCAATGTATATATGTCCCACATGGGAGAAGTTGTCCATGGCCAGGAATATTGATCTCACCCCATATCTCTTTGTGATGGCGCCGTGTTTGGGGTGGCGAAAAAAGGAAACCCAAAAGGACACCAGTCATATTTGGGATCCCCTATTTCAAGACGCACGCATATCGACACGTAACTTGAACTACCGCAGCGTTACGCCAACACCAAACTCCGCTTGGGGGGGCAAAACGTTAAAAGTGACAAACAAGCGATAATCCACCCACCCCACGTGGTAGCATAATCCCTTGTAGCCTTCAAACAACATGACTATGGCAGCCAACATGAGGAAGCGTGATTGACTCTGCCGTGTGAACTGTGTCAAGGCCAAAGCTTCTTTTTTGGGTCAGGTTTGCTCAAGAGAAATCATCCAATACCTGTTCTAAGAAGTTGATGACCAACCCTACCAACTACAAATGGGAATGTGGGTTACTAGTAAACCGAAATTGTGCAACTATCCAGCCCTTGATATTGCCAACCCCAAAGTTACGCTCGCCTGGATGATTGGTCACAAAAAGCTTAATCTGATTGTTTGCCACAAACATGGTCCAAACCCAAAAGGGCGATTAAAGTCTCGTAGCTCAGGTGACGTCCAATGGCTCGCTTCCAAGGGGCGATGGCGCACGTAGGCCGTCAAGACCTTGCTCATCTGCTTCAGCGCCCTGCCCTTCCCTGAAACGATGGCTGGCAGTGAACCAAACTCTTGGCACCCAACTCGGTCCGCGCAAAATAGGTGATTCTGGCCAGTCGGCGACCCACATGGTCTAAGTTCCCTACAAATCCACCGGTGATTTTTGAAGCTACCCGGTCTGAGGCAAGTATATGTCTTTATTTGATTGAAAGATTGAAGGTAACGGATGCCAATTTTGGAAATCCCCTATCCATCAGACCCAAAAAAGGAAGCGCGCTCTGCCGAAGAACTTGTCACACCTTCCCTATTTCGGCTCTTGCCAATTCAGAAGGAACAAAACAAAACAAAAAACCAAAACGAGATGTTGAGACGCCGGCGCGTGTTTGACAACCCCGAAAATGTCGCTGACAGTGGTCCAGATGTCGGATGATTTGCGACGAAAGACTCGATGTGAATCACCAGGGCCCAAACAGGACGAAGGAAACCACCAATTTGTTAGGGTCTCATATTTTGAGACAAGCCCATAGAGTGTCAAAATATTTTCTCGGTGTTGCCAAGGGAAACACAATGGAAACCAAATGAAAAAACCAAATGGAAACCAAATGGTTCTGGGGCTGTCTTTTCTCCGGAGCAGCAGCCCAGATAGGTTCCGGGGAGGCCATGATCGGTGGTTTGCTTCCCGGGCTGCGGTTGGGCCCAAGCACAAAAAAGAGCACCTATCACCTGAGCTTATTTTGAGGGTATTCTTTTTGTTGGTTTAGAAACAGCCAGAGCACGGTCCAGTTCTCATTCCCGTAGTATCATTAGAGTGATGTTGTACAGGGGTCCCTTTGGTGAACAAAATTCTAGGTAGGGATTTGCCACCACCAATTACTTTTAGAGAGCGGCCGGGCATGGGGCCTGGAGTTGTGAAAGCATCTTTTTTAGGACTTGCAGGACATTTGACCTTCACAGCAGAAGAAATAATGATCTAGTTGTGATTTTAAGACATGTTGCACCCAGGATGAACAAGCAAAGCTCTTTTTTATCCTCTGGCGATCAACTATCGTGATAGAACAACTATCCACCAGTACGCTCTATGGGTATGAACACGTTCCCTACTACTCAAAACTTGGCCCTTCTGCATATTTAATGTTCCTAATTGTCTAATATATTCACCTTCAACTTTCCGTAGTTGTTCTATATTTTGAATATCGTTTAATTCTATTAATAGTTCAAGATAAAAATTATTAACACCTAATTATCTCATACTTGTATAAAGCAGTCTATCTTTCTTACCACAACTATTCATTACTGACCTATGCTTTGCCATTCTTTTTGATAATGGTTGACAAGTAGAACCAATATAACAACTTTCATTTATGGTATTCAAAATCTTATAAATCTTTGCTTTGGAATAATCCATAACTATTCTTATATGCTCTTTTTTCTTTAAATATTTTATTTTTACATAATCTCCCTTACAGGTTCAACACTTCTTGAAACATCTTTACCAGCATCGCCATAACCAGTCTTATAATCGTGATTTATCAATGGGTTTAAACTTCCAGTTGCTACTGTAATTGCCCCACGGTCTGCCACTGATATTGGGTCTAATATACTTCTGAAATTAGTATAACTATCATCATTGTTGTTTGACATTGAAATAAAAGGAGCACCGTAAGTAGTTAATCTAATATTTCTATCAGGGTTATTTTGCAAATATTTAGCACTCGCACTACTACCCAATGAATGTGAAATAACTTCAGTTATATTATGGTTTTCACCAAGTATATCACTAATATCTCTATACCTTTGACTGTATGAACTTAAACCAAATGGAATTGTAATATCACTTAAAATATCATTAATATTAGATATAATATTTTCACCAAATGTCCCAGCAACATATAGTTTATTATTATCTAAATAATAACCTTTACCATTTTATATGCTTTGTTTAATCCTTCTGTGTCAGAAAAATTATTATTATATTTAGGTTTGAATAATGACTTTTCTTGTTGCATTTCATTAATTATTTTTCTATACATTTCGCTATGACCTTGATGAAGTGGATTGTATGATTTTAATTTTCCTTCTTTTAAATAATATTTATTCTTCACTATATTAATTATTGATATTTTTTATCTAATTAATTAATATAACTATGGCAAGATTTAGAAAATATATCTTGACACACGACATAGAAATCTAAATGAAAGTTTGAGCACTTCTGACTTTGTTATAGATTTACCAGAAACCCAAGAAACAGGAGCAAATACAAAACTATATGTCCACGAATTATCGATACCTACTACTATTTATCCGATTGAAGAAAATGTAAATAATAGATTATATTTAACATTAGGAGGAATATTAACAGGAGCGCCAGTATATTATTTTATTGTAGCACCAGATAAAGGTAGTTATGTAGGTAGTGAATTAGCAACCGAATTACAAAATACATTGAACACTGCTACTAATGGAACTGATGGAAATAGCGACTTTTTTAGTTGTAGTTATTCATTAAAAACAAATACTATAACTATAACTGTTAATTATGTTTCTTACTTCTTCGTAATTCATACGGATAAGGAATTGCAAACCAACTATGGTTTTAGTGTTGATTATGACAGAAGTCACACAATGACTATTAACAATGTTTTAGGAAACACTGTTGAAAAAAACAATTTTGCGCCTGACCCTTTCGTTAGTCGTTTTGTTAATTTATTATCAATGAAAAATATTTACTTAACCAGTGATAGTTTAACTAATGGCAACCAACTAGCACCTTATGGAGTTGCTCGTGTATTGAAGAAAATTCCTATTACTGCAGGGTTTGGTAATGTAATCTATGATAATGATATTTTCAT